AGGAAGAAGGGGGCCAACCATCTTCAATGTCAAGGACAGCTGGTGCCATCCTGGCACCTCCTGGGTCACTCTCTCCCGGCTTCATCCTCCCTGTTCCTCATTTCTAGAACCCGAGGAGGGGCAGGCTCTGAGAACCAGCCTGAGCAAAAGGCAGAAGAGGAAGAAGTAGAAAAGAAAGGAGAGGCGATGGGAGCGGAGAGGAGGAAAGAGGAAAGGGAGAAGAGGGAGGGGAAAGGGGAGAGGGTGGAGAAGACGGGGAGAGAGGGAAATGAGGAAAGGGGAAGAGAGGTGGCCAGGAAGCCAGCAGAGGAACCCTCAGACTTTACCCCGAGGCACCTGGCTCTCAGGACTCGGTTCTCTGCCTGGAGAACAGCAATCTTTATGTAAATTGATTTTATGTTGAGGGGGGAGTGATTAAAATGTGAGATACAAAAACAATTGGGTTTCCTTCTCCTTCCTGGTCCTGCCTGGATGGGCACTTCACTATGTCACCCAGCAAAGGGCATACTCCTTAAAAGAGAGGGTATGGCTGAGTCCCCAGGGAGCCCTTTTCCAGCCCTGCTCCAGAGTCCCACCTGGTGGCCCCAGAGTCCTTTGTTCCAGGCCTTTGCCTGTCACTTTCCCACACCGACCCTCTGGTCTCATCCAGCAAAGGCATTCCAGGCTCTGGCCCCTCTCAGCCCAACAGAGGTATCAGGAGCCTCAGGAAATATCAAAGGCCCCCAAATCAAAAGCTCCATTTTCAGGGTGTCTTTAGCACCCTGTAAAGGAAGATGCCACTGGATCTGAGCTGAAGTAAACAGTATCTGCTTCCAAGAGCTGGGCACCAGCAGTGGACAGTGGCTGAGGGTCCAGGCCTAACTCTCACATTTTCTGTCCTGTGAAGAGCTGAGCAGCCAGGGCCACCGTCCCCCCAGTTGTCCCCCAGCTCTTCACACAGTCCAGAGTGCCCCCCCCCCGTTTCTTTCTCCTCTGTTTAATGCGCTGTGGAGGACTCTGCTAGAAACTTGAAAGGAAGATGGGTGGTGTTGCTGCAGCCTTTTAAAAGAGAGAGAATTTGTGTGCAGAGATTCCAGTCGAGGCTGGGAGAGGTAGACTTAGGAGGCAGCTGCCCAACAGGGACAGCACTGGAACAGAAGTGGTGCAGGGGAGTGGAGGCAGGGGGATGCCCTATATCATGGGACCAACGAGAGCAAAAGGGAGAAGAGGAAAGATGATGGAGGGGAGTGGAAGGAGAGACAAGGAGAAGGGAGAGGAAAGGGGAAGGGAGAGTGGGTGGGGAGGAGGCAGGAGATGGGGAGGAGGAGGGAAGAAGGAAGGTAGGAAGGAAGAGAAAGGGAAGAAAAGAGAACAAGCGAATGGGGGAGGAGGGAAGGGAGGAGGGGAGGAGGGGGAGAGAGGGGTTGAGAAGAGTCTCTTCCCCAAGGTCCAGCCCCATCTGGACCAAAGGATTCTGGTCTGAGTTCCAGCCCACAGAGCAGTGGAGGCCGGTCATACTTCTGGAAACCATGGAGATGGGGAGGCGGGAGGACCAGACCACAGAGCCGGGCAGAGGAAACCCGCTGGGGAGGAGTCAGAAAAGCAAAGAGGAAGAGAGAGGGACCCTAAGCACAAAGCCGCACAGAGGAGAGAGGAGACAGATGGTGGGGTATGAGGGGAGGCAGGGACAGAAAAAGTGTGCGGGGAAGTGAGGTAGAGGGAAGGAGGGAGGAGAGGGAGATGGAGAGCGAGGGCAGACTAAGAGACAGAGAGAGAGAGAGAGAGAGAGAGAGAGAGAGAGAGAGAGAGAGAGCAGCGCTGGGCAGGGCAAGTGCTGGCTGGAGCTCACAGCTGGAGCTGGAGCTGGAGTCCTGGAACCTCTGAGGCACTGGAGGCCTTGGGAGTTGATTGATGACTTGGGAAGGGGTACCCTGGGACAAGGAGGCTAGCCAGGGGGACAGGGCCAAGTAGGAGAGTTTCTCCTCTGCCCCAGCTGCAGCCACCCATCCTCAGGTGAACCCCCCTTTCCCCTGCTGGATGTGAAATTGCCATTTCACCCCACCACACTCCTTAATTGTTGCAAAAATCATTTGTGAAATTGCTCTCCAACAGGCGAGAATGGCCACACTCATTCTGACAGACAACCCCTCTTCCTCCCCTCTGGTGTCTGCCCTGCCTGGGCTCCAGGGATCCCCAGCAGCCATGTGTCCAGTGCAGGGCCTGGATAGTGAGCCACCTCCTCTGTGTCTTCCTCCCTGGAGTATAGAGAGTGGAAGATCACCTCAAGGACGTGGTGGCCACCAACCACAGGTCTGAGGGTCCCGGTGGCAGCCTCCCTGCACCAAGGTTACCAGCTGGGTATCTGCCCTATTCCAGCTGCGCTCAGGTTACAGGATTGGTACGGAGAAACAGAGCCTGACAGCCCAGGTGCCAGGCACTTCCAGAAGGGAAGCCAATCAAAATATAGATGGCACCCCTTTTCAGACTTTGCTTCCAGCTATGCCAAGACAGCACTATACCCCCACTGAGGAACCCACATTTAATTTACCCAAGATTGACCCAAGACAGGCCTACACAGACCCCACCCGAACATAAAACCCCCGAAGATGTCAGTGAAAGCTACTGAGACCACACCACCATACAAAGGAGGGTACCTAAAAATCTGCCATGCTGGGGGGTGGGAGTTGGGAGGAGGTAGAGGGGTGGACAGACAGATGGAAGACTGAAGAACATATTAAATATGTGTATTATATATGTTTATAGAAAGACATATAGACATGGACATGTTTGGAAACACGGATATCCACCTCAGGAGTCAAAGCAGGCTAGGCTCTCCAGGAATTTACCCCCCTCCCCAGCCTACAGGCCAAAATCTCTGTCTCCCCACCTGGCTGGCGAGGGTGCCTATGACTCAGGCCACAGAGTCTAAAATACTTGGCGTCTCCCCTCTCCCCATTCAACCCTGCAAACATATATTTAACGAGCTTTTCCACAGGGCTCCCATCCCCGGAAGCCCCCCTCCTCCACGAAGTCGGATGAGCCCCTCAGTTAGGAGAAAGGGTCAGTAGCTTGCTGAGAGGGGCAAAGGTCACAGGTGAGGAGGAGGGGAAGAGAGAGGACACACTGAGGCCAGCCCCGGTGGAGAGCACCCCCAGGCCAAGACCAGACTGACCCCCTCCACCACCAGGAGAAGGCTGGGTAGGGGGTGAGCTGGAGGATTGGATTTATTTTATTGTATTTTACCTCCAGGGCTGGGCCAGAGAGGCCTTTTCCTGGAGCGCTGGGGATGTGTGAGGGGAGACACAAAAGGTCTATAATGGTGGCGTCTTACCCTGCTGGGAGGGCTTTTCACCCTTAGGAATCTATGTCCTGAGGCAGAGACCACTGGTTACTGGTTACTCTGGCTTCAGAGAACAGAGAATTGTGGGAATCTCTGACCAAACACACACACACACCGCCGCTGCCGCCTCCACCACCACCACCACCACCACCACCACCACCACCACCACCACCACCACCACTCCAGTCCTCCAGTGGAGGAGTTGAGTTGGTACCAAGCTCCATCCTTCTGTCTCCCACTCATTTCCCATCTGACTCCCAGATCCTCAGCCTTGCTGATGTAGTCTCCGGGACATCCTGAATCCACTCGAAAGGGCTCCTAGGTGGTGGCCTAGGAACTGGAGGAGGAGCTGGAAAGAAAGGGAGGTTGTTCGCAAGGGTTTGGCAGACTCAGAGATTTGCCCACATCAGGGGATGTATATCTCGCTGCGTTTCTCCGAGCCGGAGGAGGCCAGGCGAGACGCGAGCAGTAGAGCCCTGACAGGTATCAGAGAAGTCAAAATTCTTCCAGGGATGTCACCCTACTCTGTTCCGCCCAGGGTGGGAGTCGTTGTCAAGGAAAGTTCAGAGCTAGTGAGTGAAAAAGAGAAGGGACGCGGTGGGCCCTAGTCCAGGAGGCCAGGGACAGCCGGAGAAGACAGAAGAGCCCAGCCTAAGGCCGGCTTTCCTTACAGAGCGAGCAGACCGCTGAGAGCAGTCCTGGGGACCCGGGCTGGGGAGCACAGACCCTCTGGTTCTTCTCTAGACAACACTTAAAAGAAGTTACCCCTCCCTCTCTCCCAGTACCCCCCAGCCCACGCCATCCCTGGACTCAGAGTTTCAAATTATCTCCCTCCCCCGCCACTCCCTGGGGGAAAAAAAAAGAAAGAAAAGAAAAAAAAAGAAAAAAGAAAACGAGGTCGAGTGGGAGATCAGAAAGGAAGGGTGAAAATACTCGTTGGCGACTTCTTTTCGATATCGGTCCCCTCTCCCTCCCGAACTGGCCCCCTTTCCTCCTCATGAATAAAAGAAAAGTCCGAACCTATCAGATCTCTCTAGCTGCAGTCTGCTCCCTCCCCTCCCCTGCTGTTGAGCACTTTTGCACAACTTACCCAGCTGATCCCTCGCGCCCCCTCGCTTTTCCTCTTGTGTTCCCCAACCCTGTCGCTCGGGTCGCCTCCCCTCCAGTCCGAAACCAGAGCAGGCGAGTGTCCCCCGCTCCAGTCCTCCGGGGGACAGGGTGTGAGGGCAAGCAGAAAGAGGCGTGGAGAGGAGGGATCGAGGGGAGGAGGGAGTCCGAGCCAGAGAATAAATATATAAATAAAGACCCAAAGAAATCCACTCCGCAGCCTCTGGGCTCAGGAACTTCGGCCGCGAGCGCGGGAGCCGGTGGCCCGCAAGGCGCAGCTGGGGACGGAGAGCCCGGCCTGCTCGGCCCACGGCTGCCGGTGTCATTCGGCTTAACTTCTCTGGCCGAGCCTAGCGGGTGGAGGCGGACTTGGGGTTGGAGTGTTTGTTTGTTTGAACTTCCTTGTCGCCACCTTCCACTCCCCCCGCCCCCACCTCACCCTCCCCCCGCCCAGCTTCTGGAAGGGGCGCGTCTGCAGCCGGGTGGGGGGGGGTGTGCAGAAGGGAGGAGGAAGAGGCTGGGGGGGGGGGGAGAGAAGAAGAGGAGGATCGCAGCAGGGGTGAAAGGAAGAGACGCCAAGAGGTTTATCCAGCCGACTCTGGATTCGTCTCCGGCGTGCGCAGGAATGGCGGCGCTGCCCGGCGCGGTCCCCAGGATGATGAGACCCGGCCCAGGGCAGAACTACCCGCGCACCGGCTTCCCCCTGGAAGGTAAGAGCAAGAGGCCTTCACTGGGTCCCCCAAGGGCCTCGGAGGTGGCATCCTCCAGGGAAACGAGCAGCGGGGCATCGGGGGCTCGGCTGGGTTCCAGTCTCCGCGTGCGACCCGGGAAGTTTCTAGAGCGGACACTTGTCAGTTTCTGCGTGGACTCCGTTGACCCTCGGCCCCCGCTCCGTGGGTCACCGGCTGCCGGCCTTTCGCCGCAGGATGCGACTCCCCGGGGAGTTCGCATCTGGTCGGTTCTGCGCTCCGCTAAATTTCAGGGTTTCCCACTATTCTCTGACACTGCGGAGTTCCCGGGTCTCTGCTCAGCGCCGCCGGCTTTCTTCCCTAGTTTTGAATCCGTCCCTCAAAGTCGGGATGGGGTCCCAACCCCTTTTATTTCGAAATACAACAAGCGATAGTCTTTTACTACTCTGTCAGTCTGTCGGCTTCCTCCAAAGCAACTTACTAACTGGCTTGTTTTTTGCTTTTGTTTTTCGGCCCCGACACAAACTAATTGAAAACAACACATAGTTCCCGCAAAAACAAAAACAAAAATTCGAAACACAACTTTTCACTCCCTTCACTTTGTCTTTCTAAAGTCTGCAAATGTCCCGGGAGAGAAATTCAAGACCGAGAGAGAATACAGCAATCCAGGGGACTGTTTTGGGTGTTGAAACGTATTCAGCGAAATTCTTTAGCCACTCGGGGAAGCAGAGGGGACCGGCCGGCGGCGATCGGCCCCGAGAGGGGACAGGGCCCCTTTGCGCGTTCCCTCCCTTTTCTATTTAAACCGACGGAAGGTTTTCAGCCAGTCACAGAAGGGTCTTCTAGCTTCCTCCGCTCAGACAGCCCAGGGTGTCACAGGAGCAGTTAGAAATGGCGTGCCAATTTTATTTTTTAGACGCCCCTCTTGTCATTGTGTGGGCCCCACTTGTGAATGCGGGAGGATGGGGAGAGAAGGCGAGAAGGAGCTGTCTGGCAGCCGGCGATCTAGGGAGGGAGCCCCCCTCTCGGGCAGCGAGAAGCCGCCGGGTCCCCGAATTAGACAGAGGCGAAGAGAGCGGGCTGCGTGATCAAGTGTGCGCGAGCGGCCACGCAGGCGGGAGAGCGCGGCAGCCGGGGATTTGCTGGAGTCCTCTCCTGGAACCAATGCAAGCAAAACAGGCGGCTGAGGACGCGCGAAGGATTAGGACAATATTTGCCCAACATGACGCAGAATACTGAGGAGAGCCGAGTGCCGGTCGCTAAAGAGGCTCTTGAATATAAAGTTGGGCGTTCGAGAGCTCTCCAGCGCTAATGGCGTATCCCGCCACGGAGACCGAGTGACTCTGGCTCGGCGACGCACGATTTCTGATTAAATCTGAGAGTGGTTTCAGATACCTACTTTTACAAAGAAAAATTGGTGAGGGTGGGGGGAGCGGGAAAGTAAGGAGGGGGCGGTAGGAACAGCTCAGCAGACCGAGCCTCTTCTACCCTCCTCCTTTCCAATTATTCCGTCTGCTTCCTCCGCTTGGGCCGCTGTGAAATCGTTGTAATCTTCCAGATCTCTGCAGCCGCGAGTCCCCAAATTGGGGGGATCGAGGCTGGATTAGTGCACCGGGTGTCCCCCCAACCTTCTGTAAGAAAATTGTGTAGACTTTGCATTAAGGCCTGCCTAAGTTCTCCCTTCCCCTGAACACACTAGGTATGCCTCTCTTCCTTCACACACACACACACACACACACACACACACTGACTCATCTTCGTTGCAGCAAAGACTGCTGGTACAATCACTGCATTTCTGAGACCAAGTCGGGATATTTTGGAGTTGGTGGTCATTGTGGAGAGTACCCTCGATTTGTCCCCAAACGAAATGAGAACTTTAAGGGTGTTTAAAAGCAAAGGGAATCTGCCAAGGGATAGCCTGTGCTTGCGTAGTCTACACAGACAGCTTTATGTCACCAGTCCTTAAGCTGTGCAGACTCAGCTGCCACAATCCTGGGTTCTCAAGCCAGAGCTATAAATGTGGGGAGTCGAGTAGCCTCGTAACTAACTGATCGAAGAGTTGAGTCCTAACAGCCTGAGGTGTGAGACTGACCTGGTGGGCTACATCCCCCTGGCTGTCAGCCTCTTCCAGCCTCTTGGGGCCTGTGACCCCAAGCTAGGGTCCCAGAACCATTTGCAGCTGTTCTTAGGATCTCTCTTCTCCACCAGGCTTCCCTCCCTCCTTTCTGGCGTTCAGATCACTCAAAGGTGTATATCTTCATTTCCTGCAGTGTAGATGGATTTTGGAGGGAACAAACAAGCCAGGCTCTGAAGCTAGGACTCTTTCTCCCTGTTGGAGCCTCCCAGGGGTTCATGAAGACCTTGGAGAACAGCTGTTAGGAGTCTTGAGTCCCCCTCTCTCACACAAACTATTCCATCTTATACTCACTATCTTCCCTCCCTCCCCCAGTGTCCACCCCTCTTGGCCAAGGCAGGGTCAATCAGCTTGGTGGAGTCTTCATCAACGGGAGACCCCTGCCGAACCATATCCGTCACAAGATAGTGGAAATGGCCCACCACGGCATCCGGCCCTGCGTCATCTCCCGTCAGCTCCGCGTTTCCCACGGCTGTGTCTCCAAGATTCTGTGCCGGTACCAGGAGACTGGGTCCATCCGGCCCGGGGCTATCGGTGGCAGCAAGCCCAGAGTGAGTGTCTTTGCCTCTAAGGCTGGCAGCAGGCCTTCTTTAGTACACCGTCCTTGGTTGTCACCTCTCTCGATATCCCGTGTCACCCAGCAGCCCTGGGTGTCTGGAAGCTTCCCACATAAAAGCTCGCAGGAGATTTTCCTTAGCTCTCAGATACTGTCCCACTATTCGAAATCTTGAAGGATTTGTAAGCTGGGCTCTAGATTGTCCAAGACTTTGAAGCCTCGTTGGAATGCCCTTACATCTGCCCACAACCCCAAATCTCCACCCTAGCTAGAGGAAATCTCCCTTCCGTGTTGCCTGAGGTGGCGAGGGGAGTGGGCCACTGGGTTACGAATTATATTTTACTTTCTTATCGCTGCCCCCACTGATGTCATCCTGGAGACATTGAAAACCCAAAGTCCATCTTAGGAGGAAGGGAATGGCCACCGGAGGGGCCAGCCTGGCTGAAAGCTTTTGGGAGGTTGATACTAAAACTATTTCCCTTCCCCCGCCCCATCTCTGCGTTCCTGCTCTCCCACCTCCACCTCTGAAGCAGGTGGCTACTCCGGATGTGGAGAAAAAGATTGAGGAGTACAAGAGAGAGAACCCCGGAATGTTCAGCTGGGAAATCCGGGACCGGCTGCTGAAGGATGGCCACTGTGACCGAAGCACGGTGCCCTCAGGTGAGAAGGTAGCTGAGCCAGCGGCAGAGCTGGCCAGGAGTCTCGCTGGAGATTCAGCACGTAGGCCTGGGGGGTGGACAGAAAAAGAGGATGAGTGGGTGACGGTCATCTAGGGGGATACGGGCTTTGCAGTGAAGCAAAGGGTGGAAGGATGGAAGGAAGAAGGGAAGAGAAAGTTATAAAAGGAGAGGTTCAGAAGAAGGAACGGAGGTGGGAAACAAGGAGAGGGGAAGGGAGGTGCAGATGCTGAGAATGTTGAAAGGAAGGTTAACCTTGAAGGTAGGATTCTCTTGAGCTTTGGAGAAAAATGTTCTGGAAAAAGACCTGTCTCAGGATGGCTGGTGTACCTGGGCTCCCATCCCCTCTAATCTGACTCGCAGTCTTCAGACCGTGCTGTGGGGGTGGGAGAAAGCTGCCGGGAGTCATGTCTGACCTTACAGTTGTGTGCAGGCATGCAGGGCCAGGACACACCTGCCTGGCTGCAGCAAGGGTCAAGCAACGCTAGGGCAGTAGGCATGTTGTGAACGCCTGTAGGACACAAGGTAGGGTCGGGCACCTGGTGAGCGTCCAAGGTTGTACACTGAGAAGCACGTGGTGGCTGCCTCTGTAGGCTTACCTGGACGTACAGGCTCCCGGAGTGACCAACGTTTCTTAAGCTGGAGTAAAAGCAAATCGGAAGTGCTTGGATGGCAGGGAGCTGAGACTGGGGAGTTGTCTGATTTTTCTGCCTCCCATTCCTCAGCCCCAACAACTTATACTCTCTCTTTTCCCTTTAATTTCTGAGGTTTAGTGAGTTCGATTAGCCGAGTGCTCAGAATCAAGTTCGGGAAGAAAGAGGAGGATGAGGAAGGAGACAAGAAGGAAGAAGATGGTGAGAAGAAAGCCAAACACAGCATCGACGGCATCCTGGGCGACAAAGGTAAGAACCTACCGTGGCCCGTGACGCCCGGAGACCACGTTTTCCCACGCTTCCGGTGAGAACTTGTGCCGATTAAACTTTGCCACAGCTAGGACTGTCGGGGAGTGAGGGAAAAAGTCGCAGATCCCCGGCGGCCGGGATTTTGAAGGCGTTAGAGTGCACGGGTCTATTCTTCCCCACCACTCAAGTCCTGGGAGCCCGGCTGCGGGGTAGCAAAATCCTGCGTCTCAGCTGTCACCCCCCTCTCCCCACCGAGCGCGCGCACGGGCCCACAGCCTGTGCAACCTCTGGAGCTGGCATTTTTGACGTCGATCAGTTATTTATAGAAAACTTGGGCAAGCGTGCGGGAGATAGGGAGGAGGGCAAGGAAGGAGGAGCCCGCCCGGGGCTCCCTAAATGAATTTGTTAACCAGCCCCGCACACGCTTTCTAAACGGTCCCTTGAAACCCCGCCTGACAGCTGACTGACCGCTGCAATCAATAAAAATTAGTCGGAGCTGCTCAGGCTGTCTCTCAGTCCCGCAAGGTCAGGGAGGAGTGGAGGCACATGGGTGCTTTCCTCTTGGCAAGCACTGTGTGTCGGGGGCTGGAGGCCAAGTTCCCAAATGCCAAAGGTCGGGGGATTCACCCAACACCCTCTGTCCAACCTTAACTAGGCTTCCTGTAGAGACCCCAGCGCTCAGCTTTCTCTCTGGAGCCTTTAGGGCTGAAGTCTATCTTTCAAGCGCCTGCACCCGGGCTTGGAGAACCGGGATGTGTTTCTGTTTCTAGATAGGGAAATAAGTGTTCTTTTGTCACCCCATCCTGCGGAAGTACGAAAGTGGGGTCCTAAGGGGGCGTAGGGATGGATATGAAAATTTCAGAGTCACAAAGACTAACCCGGGACAAGAGGGAGCCTGGAACACCCGTGCCAGGGAAACAAATGAATCAGAATGTATCTTTGGAGAACATGTAGGAGGTTTACTAAAAACCCCTTGTGGTCGGAGAATTCTTCCAGAGGTTTCTGCAGAGTCCCTTTTCAGCACCTCCGGTCTAGGTCCCTCTCTGGGTCTCTGGAGTGACTCTTAAGCCTGAGGATGAACTTCACAGACAAAATCCCACTTCTAAAGACAACATCCAGAGATGGAGGCCCAGCCCCTCACCAGCCCAGGTCAACCAGGGACTGGGAGGGGGCAAGTGGCAGATTGTTGATATTCTCTGGACTCTAGTAGGGCTGCTGTCCCTCCAGGGACAAAAGCACTGGGAGGGGGGTATCCCACTGTGGCAGGCCAACCAGAGGAGCCTAGGCTCTGCTGCAGGCGATAGCCTCTGGCCGCTGCCTAGGCCATTCTGTCCAGAGTCCTGGGACACCTTCCTGGAAACCCAGGGTTTATCTCAGTTTATCAGAAAGACAAATTAGTCATAAAAAAAATCAGAGTACTACCCGTGTATCCTGAATTTGAATAATCTTTCTAAGGTATATACTACACACCAAACACCTCTAAGAGTTACCCCCAGGAAGCAGTTGGGATATTTGAGTTTGTTTAAAGATTGCCTGCGCCTTGTGTACAAAAGAGGATGTGTCTAATTCAGTGTGTGGTGAACAGCAAGAGGTCAGTGGCCTCTGAGAAAAAGAAGGGTCGTGGTGGGGGTAGGGACAGCAAGAGGGTTGTGTCTTGAGGGATCCCTCTGCCTGGGAGAACTCAGAGACCTCACAAAACCGGTGAACCAGAGGCTTCGCACGAGAGAGGTTTTCCCTGCCAGAAACCCAGTACGTGCCAAGTCTCCAGGGGTTTAGAGACCAGGTCTGGCCTGTCCAGATGACGCCAGCTGGGAACACGGGTGTTAAATGTACAAACCTGTAAGAATGAAATGTTTTGCAAGGGGTTGGTGTCCTGACAGATCTCTAGGCTTCCAGATGCTCTTGGGGTGTGAGTGGTACTCTGGGGCATCGGGTGGCCTTGTGAGTTCCTGAATCTTTAGGTGGCTGTGGGTCTACCTACCAGCCTTTGAATCCGGGGTTTGCAGCCTGACCATAGGCAATTGTGGAGGGGCAGCGCAATTCAAATAAGGGAAGGGTTTGATTGTGGGCAGATTTGATGTCCAGCATGAGCCCTGCCCTGTGGCTTGGCGGGCATGGGGGGGGGAATATCTCTCTCTCTCTCTCTCTCTCTCTCTCTCTCTCTCTCTCTCTCTCTCTCTCTCCATCAGTTTCACAGTTAAATTAAAGCTGAAAAGCCCTCATCCAGGGTTGAGTCCAGAGTCCGCCCAGATGCCCACCTCCTGCCCTCCCCCATGGGTAGAGCAGGGGAGGGCTACACACTCACAACTTTGTTTTGGCTTCTTGCTTTTTGACAAATGCTTTCTCCCAGGGTCGCCCTTCTCGTGGCGGGGAGCCACCAAAAAGGGGTTTAAGAGCGCTCCTCTTTAAGCGCTAAAGAGAGATCCCTCCCTGGGTCCGTTTCTTCCTATCGTCCGCTTGGCGTTTAATAACGTTAAGACTTATTAGAGCTGGTAATGAAAACTGAGGCTGCTGAATAGGGAGCTATGTCGGAGAGGGGTGTAATAGCTTCCAGGCATGGTAAGAAACTATTTATCCGCAATCAGTCTTCACTCTCAGAGTTTGAAGCACAAACGTTAAGTTGAAGGGTTTTAAAGCAGATTAAATTGAGCTTTTATTTCTCCGCACTTTCATCTCTGAACGGCTCACTCCTGCTTCCCTTGGGCTGATATTCATGAGACTGTGGGCTTTTTTTTTTTTTTTCTTCCTCTTTCCCTCTTATCCTAGTTAAGACAGAGTTATTAGGATTGTTGCTTGTGAGAATTCTCAGGGCTGCTGCTGACAGGGGCTGCGGCCCAAGCTCAGCTTACCTGAGGAAGGAAGGGGACGGTTTGCATCCTTGGTGGGTTACACCCTCTCCTCTTCATCCCTCTCCCCAAGAGTCAGGGGATGGGTAGAGCTGGCCTGCTATAGATCTGAAAAGAGAAAGTAGAGGCAGAGACTCCCTCTAGAAACTGATGAGAGCATGCAGAGAAAGGTAGGGCCGTTCTCCCGTAGTCACAGAGATAGGCAGGATGGAGAGACAATGACAATAGGTGAAGTAAGACACAAGCGGCAGCCAAAGCCTCAGGCATCTGACTGTGCTCTAGTCAAAGCTGCGGCTGAACACAGTAGACACAGACAGGACTGGTTGTTTGGTCTCTAGGAGGTTAGTTACAATTAGTATGAAACACTCAAAAAGTTACCAGGAGGGATGAGAAGTTGTTTTCCTGCGTGGCTAGGAATACGTATGGGTGTCGGGAATCCAGTGGGAGAAGAGATCTCAGGGGTGTGAAAGGCTGTCGCGGGCTACGCAGAAGAAAGGGACGGGGCTAGGACTACATTTTTCCTTAGAGAGGATTGAACCAGTGTCTGGCACAGGCCAAGCGAGTACACTCCCCCACTGAGCTACACAGCTCAGGCGTAGGTTTGTTTTCTTTGCATTTTCCCCTTAATTTATTTGAAGAAAGGTAAACTTACAGGTGTGGACTGGAATACCAACCGGGAAGGCTCGGAGAGGAAAGGGGGCGGGGGTTGGGGGGAGCCCGAAGTGTCGGTTTTAGACACTTGTAAAAGGAGGTGGGAAACAATTTAATTTGGCAGCGGCGATGGCTGCTAATGCGGTTTTCGGTCGTTTGCCGCACCGGAGGAAGCTGTTTTGATTGTGTGTACAAGGACCTGCCAAATTTAATTAGGCTCCGGGGGAGCGAATGAATAGGGGAAGGGGGGCAGGGCTCCTCACAGCCCGCACTTTTTCTTAGTGTTTCTTCCCCCCTCCCCGGAGACTTCACACCTGGAAGGGTCAGTGTTGGGGGGGGGCATAGGTAAGAAGAGACCTGGGTGGGGCCTTGGAGAAGAGGGCTGGGCCGAGAGGGTACCAAGACCGTCCATTTATCAGGAGGAGATCTGCATTGCTTTAAACCTACAACTTCCCTCCTCTGTAAATGTGTGTTTAGAGAAAGGTAATTGACACTCCACCAAATCAAAGGATTACCCCGGGTTGGCAATCTAATCAAACAAAGTCCAGGCGGGATTTGAGTCTGTTCAGAGGAGGATCAGCTTCGCATAATGGGGGCTCCGAGGAAGATAGGGGGTGTCAGGCAATTCCTCGGCTTTAGGCAGCGCTCCGCTTTGGATGCGGAAGGAACAGAGCGAGCGTAGGAGGCCCCCACGGTCCGGTGGGGGATGGGACGCGGAAGGTCCCGGGGGGAGGGAGCTCCTAGCGAGGGGGCGAGCCCACACTGAGCTGACAAGACTCCCTTCCCCCCCAGTCCTCCCGAACCCAAGACTAGAGTGAGGAGGAGGGAGCTGAGACTAAGCGACACCACAATGAGGCGATAACTGTTACAAAGGCGAACACGCGCTCGCACGCTCGCAGCCCCGCATCCCAGGGTAAATAAAGTCTGCAAACGGCGCTCCAGATAAACGGGTGCCTAAATCTAGTGTGACGGGCCAGAAGAGAAGAGACAGAAGGAGATAAGGTTGGGGAGGGGCGATGAAGGAGCGTAATCTAATAGAAGACATTCCGAAGACAAACTTTATAAACGAGGGAATCAGCGAGTGCAGAACGCGGAAGACGTGCAGGGCCGTTGCGGGCCGCGGGGCCTGGATGCTGGGGACGCCGCTGGGATACTGGGGATGCAGGAGCCAGGTCCCGGCGGCGTGCAAGGGAGAGGCCGGGGAGTACAGAAGTTGCTGGAGTCTAGCAAGTGGGGTCCCCCGCTGAGCGAACGCGCGCGTTCCGTGTTCACCTCCGGGCACGCACCCGCCGCGCGGCGGCCGTTTCATGGCGTCTGTACCTAAAAGATTCGCGTGCACCGAGCGGCAGTTAAAGGAATTAGATATTTACCAGTTTGAAATAAGCCTAGCTAAGAAGAAGGGAGAAGAGAGAGAGGGAGAGAGACAGACACACACACACACATTGAAAAGATGAGACTGGGGGAAGACTTCAAACGAATTCATCATTTGGAACGGTGAAGGGA